ATTCTGTCATTCAGTCATATCAATCATTTGCAGTATAAAGTCGAAATCTTTTTCGCTTTCAGTGATCATTTCGTACTTCAAGGGAGGTTGGGGGACCTATCGAACTTACAAAAAATCGAGATTTTTATTTTTTCGAAATTTTTTTTGCAAAGTTCAAACGTTTTTGTTTTGATTAGTGGCTCCTTACCGAAGTGTGAGTTGGGCGATTATCCCACCCACCCCTCCCCACCTATGTTGTTGCTATCTCTCGCCTTACCGTTTCTGTTTGAATCCAGGTACCCCCTGCGGCGACATTGGTGAGTTGCCACGTCAGAAGGACACGTCAGCAGGCCACGTCAGCAGGAAACAACAGCAGGCCACGTCAGCAGACACATCAGCAGAACCACGTCAGCAGCAAGGGATACCTTATCAGCAGGCCCCGGCCGGTCTATGCTGTTGAGATCTCAAACAGCAGTCATGGACCAGAGGCCCGGAGAAGCGGACGAGGCCTATCAGGCCCGCATGCTGGCCTGGAGTGTGGAGACTAAGAAACGGGCAGATGACGCTGCAGCAGCAGCAAAGAAGAAGGCGGAAGATGCCGAACAGGCACGTCTGCTGGCACTTGAACAACAGCGCCAGCATGACGAGGCAGCAGCAAGGGCTGTCGATGAAGAAAGAATACAGCGTCGCGAAAAGATATTCACTGGAGAGCGGGCGTTACTTACCATGGCAGCGGCATGGCGGACCGAGGCCGAGGATGGCAAGTTGGAGGACAGCGCCAACAAGATAGCGCTCCTCCTCTCGCATCTCACGGATCTCCTGGCCACCTGCATTACACAGCAGGSGGAGATCCTTGGCCTCGACACCTCGCTAGCTCATCTTCAAGACCGCCTTCAGCGGTTGGAGCAGCGACCAGTCGCCGCCGCCGACGCAAGCTCTTCCAACACTGCCGACCGTCTCAACACACTGGAGTTGGACGTCAGCTCCCTCAAGGATGACGCGCAAATACAGCAGACCGCGACGCAACAATTGCAACAGCGGATCGGCACCACCGCCACCACCTCGAGTCCGGAGCCGCGCGAGACTACTCCGAAGTTCGATGGTCAGGAGATCTTCTGCGACTCAACGAAGACAGATCCTATTCCATGGTTTCGCAAGTTCGAGCTCACGCTGCAGYTGTCCAACGTCAAGGAACACAAGCATCATGCCTATTTGTACTCTCGCTCAGGGGACGCGTGCCAGGCTTGGTTGGACAACCTCCTGTCCAAGTATGGAGTGGTAGCAGCGGACTTGCACACCGTGATCAGTTGGGATGATCTGAAGGCGGCGTGGCACAAGCGGTTCCAGGTGGAGCCGCCAGAGATCAAAGCCATGGACAAGCTYATGGTCTTTGAGCAAGGCACGTTGCCGAGTACGGACTGGATCGCCGAGTACCAACGCTTGACGTCAGTCCCARACATCCAGATGGGCTTCAAGGCCATCCGCCATTACTTCATCTCAAGGTCATGTCCGGCATTGAGCAATGCCCTGACGCATGTCGAAGACACCTTGACGACGACGGCGGAGTTATTCGACAAGGCTGCGCAGATCATCGTTACGAACAAGGAGGCCAAGAACCTYCGTTCATCTGCGTCAGGCCCGAGCAGGGACCAGCATCGGCCAAGAGTGGCCGTGGTCGCAGCGGCAGCGCCGTTAGACCAATCCAGCGAGGCTGCGTCTGCCAGTGAAGGGGACAGATTCGCAGCCGCCCGGGAAGGTGGCCGCCCCGGCAGAGGCCGAGGTCGC